ATTTTTGCAAGTGAAAGGCCTGGTGAAACAGCATATTGATTCTTTTAATCATTTTGTTAATGTGGATATTAAAAAGATAGTTGAAGCCAATCAAACTGTAATTAGTGATGCAGACCCGCTTTTTTATCTAAAATATTTAGATGTACGTGTTGGCACACCCGATATTGAAGATGGTTACAATATCACAAAAGCTACTACGCCACATGAATGCCGATTGCGTGATACAACTTATTCGGCACCTATAACAGTCGATATCGAGTATACWCGCGGAGCACAGCGTATCATCAGAAATAACCTTTTAATAGGTCGCATGCCGGTGATGTTGCGATCCTCGAATTGTGTGCTAGCGGGTAAATCTGAATTTGAACTGGCCAAAATGAATGAATGTCCGCTAGATCCTGGCGGTTACTTTGTGGTACGTGGGCAAGAAAAGGTTATTCTTATACAGGAACAGCTGTCATGGAATAAAATGATTACCGAAGAATTTAATGGTACGGTACAGTGTCAAGTGACTTCGTCTACACACGAAAAGAAATCGCGTACCTTAGTACTGAGTAAGCACGGTAAATACTACCTAAAACACAATTCCATGACGGATGACATACCGATTGCAGTAATCTTTAAGGCTATGGGTGTAACTTCAGATCAAGAAATAATGTGTTTGATTGGTACAGATACTGAAACTCAAAATCGATTTGCACCCTCTCTTTTGGAGGCATTTCAGTTGAAAGTGTTCACACAACAACGTGCACTGGAGTATATGGGTAAATGAGAAACAAAATAATATAATATATATTATATAATTATAATAATTCAATTTTCAGGTTCTAAGTTGGTAGTAAAACGTTTTCAAAGCGCAGCAAATAAAACCCCCGCAGAAGAAGCACGAGAATTGCTTACCACCACCATACTTGCACATGTGCCAGTTGAGAATTTCAACTTTCAAATTAAATCGATTTACGTATCGTTGATGGTGCGACGTGTCATGACCGCGGAGCTGGATCCAACTGCTTTTGACGATCGTGACTACTATGGTAATAAACGTTTGGAATTGGCGGGTTCGTTAATATCGCTCATGTTCGAGGATCTCTTCAAACGCATGAATTGGGAATTGAAAATGATCGCYGACAAGAATATACCTAAAGTAAAGGCTGCTCAGTTCGATGTCGTGAAGCATATGCGCGCTGCTCAAATAACCGTGGGCTTAGAATCGGCCATTTCATCCGGCAATTGGACAATTAAACGTTTCAAAATGGAGCGCGCTGGTGTTACACAGGTGCTCTCACGTTTGAGTTACATTTCGGCGTTAGGTATGATGACACGTGTCAACTCACAGTTCGAGAAAACACGTAAAGTTTCTGGTCCGCGTTCACTGCAACCAAGTCAATGGGGTATGTTGTGTCCATCCGATACGCCAGAAGGTGAAGCGTGTGGTTTGGTTAAGAATTTGGCGTTAATGACACATATAACGACTGAAGTGGATGAAGGTCCAGTTATCTGTTTAGCTTTTAATGCTGGTGTGGAAGATATACGTTTAGTTGGTGGAGATGTAATAAATAATTCCAAGGTTTTCTTGGTCTTTATAAATGGTAAATAACAATGGCAAATATTTGTTTTGATTCGGWTACTTAACAATAATTTCTGCTTATAATTTCAGGTAACATTCTTGGCATAACAATTAGCTACAAACGGCTGGTGCAAGCTTTTCGTATGATGCGTCGTAAAGGCCGACTAGGTCCATTCGTTTCCATACACACATCGCACACGCAGCGTTGTGTGTACATACACACAGATGGCGGTCGACTCTGTCGTCCATATATTATAGTCGCTAATGGCAAACTGGCTGTGGAACAGCGTCACATTGAAGAACTGAAACGTGGTATACGTAAATTTGAGGACTTCCTGCACGATGGCTTAGTGGAATACCTTGATGTGAATGARGAAAACGATTCATTTATTGCTTGGAATGAAGCTGATATCACCGCCGAAGCGACAACACATCTGGAAATAGAACCATTCACATTGTTAGGTGTCTGTGCGGGACTTGTACCATACCCACATCACAATCAGAGTCCACGTAACACATACCAATGTGCTATGGGTAAACAGGCGATGGGTGTGATTGGCTATAATCAGAAAAATCGTATCGATACACTTATGTATAATCTAGTATATCCGCAAGCGCCTATGGTTAAGTCGAAAACTATTGAATTGACCGGYTTCGATAAATTACCTGCTGGTCAGAATGCAACCGTGGCGGTCATGAGTTACTCCGGCTATGACATTGAAGATGCGCTCATTCTCAATAAGGCATCTATAGATCGCGGTTATGGGCGCTGCTTGATTTATAAGAACTCTAAATGTACCGTTAAACGATACGCAAACCAGACATACGATCGCATTATGGGTCCTGTGAAGGATGCACTCACCAATAAGGTAATTTTCAAACACGATGCATTGGATACCGACGGTATTGTGGCACCGGGCGAAATGGTTGTAAATAAACAAATTTTGATTAACAAGGAAATGCCGGCAGTGACTTCCATTAATCCGATAGAGCAGTCCGGTCAAACATCGCAGGTAATTATTATAAAACAATAAAATGTAAGAACTGTTTTTATTAAATATTAAACTTCACTTGCAGATTCCATATACAGCAGTGCCGATATCRTATAAAGGACCAGAACCTAGTTATATCGAAAAGGTAATGGTATCAGCGAATGGCGAAGAAGACTTTCTTATCAAAATACTTTTACGTCAAACTCGGCGTCCCGAAATCGGTGACAAGTTCAGTTCGCGTCACGGTCAAAAGGGCGTTACCGGTTTGATTGTTGATCAAGAAGACTTGCCATTCAACGATTATGGTATATGTCCAGATATGATTATGAATCCGCACGGTTTTCCAAGTCGTATGACAGTTGGTAAATCGCTTGAATTGTTGGGTGGCAAGGCCGGTTTATTAGAGGGCAAGTTCCATTATGGCACCGCATTCGGCGGTTCCAAGTGCAAAGACATACAAGATGAACTCTTCAAGCACGGTTTCAATTATATGGGCAAAGACTATTTCTACTCGGGCATTACGGGTGAATCACTGGAGGCTTACATATACTCCGGTCCGGTGTATTATCAGAAACTGAAGCATATGGTGCAAGATAAAATGCATGCGCGTGCACGTGGTCCAAAAGCGGTGCTGACGCGTCAGCCCACACAAGGTCGCAGTCGAGAGGGTGGTTTGCGTTTGGGTGAAATGGAGCGCGATTGCTTGATTTCGTATGGTGCCAGTATGTTGATTATGGAACGTTTAATGATTTCATCGGATGCGTTTGATGTGGACGTCTGTAAGACTTGTGGCCGTTTGGCATATTGTTCGTGGTGCCACTACTGTCAATCATCAGCGAATGTGTCGAAAATCTCCATGCCATACGCCTGTAAGCTGCTCTTCCAAGAATTGACCAGTATGAATGTGGTGCCRAAATTGAAGCTGCAGAATTATTAAGCTTTTTTTTCAATCTAAGTTAAGTGTTTTTTATGTTTTTATCGATAATGTTTAAAGTAGACGTAAGACATTTACTTTACTGCAATTGCATTACAATTTAAGAAAATAATAACAGTAAAATATAACAGAAGKATCTGTTTATATGTAGAAAAATGGTGTCATAACCTCAATACGTTTTCGAAATGCTGATACTGCTTACATTGCAGTTATTCAAACTTGTAGTTCAATGTTTATAATAATTTTAGGTAGACATTTTCGGTAGTACCGAASCTAAAATACCCTACACAGTTGCATTTCTTAAAGTGTAAAAGTTTATGAAGCGATCGTTATCTTGATATTGAGCGGTTAGTTTGTAAGAGAGTTGTATGCTATACTTGTTCGATCTAAGCAATTTCTTGTGAGACCACAGTATTGCTTTGGTTTGGACAATTATTTATGCCAAACTCCATGACGATATAATGTCAAACATAAAAGTTTTCCATACAAGAAAAGGTTTTTGCTTCTGTGTTTATATGCGAACCCTCAGTTTCGGAGATAATGTTCTGAAAATTTGCTCACATTCTTTTCTCTTCAAAACGCTGTTTATTTATTGAAATCGCCGATATCGGGTCACTATAGCATAYAGCTGCCATACAAACTGACCGATCAATATCAGGTTCTGTCCGTTCCCACACAGTCGGGTCTACGGAAACCGGAACGGACCCGGATTTTTATCCGGCCAWGGACTGTCAACTCGGCAGAATTTCATCGCTACAACAACAACGACAACAACAGATTCTCGTATGGAAAACTTTTTTATTCGACAAGTTATCTTCACGAATTTCGACATAGACTTTGTCCAGGCCAGGGCTACAATCTCTGAACAAATAATTTACATCGGAGCACTATAGTATGTACATGGCATACAAACCGACCGTTTAAAATCTAGAACTGCATGCTAACTTCTTATTTGACAGGATATCCTCAAGAAATTTCGCACTGATTTTTGCCTAAG